GAGGTGGCCCAGGAAGAAGTACATGGGGGTCTGCAGGTGCGGCGTGGCTCTGATGAGCAGGATCATGCACAGATTTCCTGCCAGCGTGATCAGGTAGACCAGCAGGAACAGCCCAAAGAGTGCCTTCTCGAGCGCAGGGTCATCTGTGAGTCCCAGGAGAATGAAATCCATCACTAGGGTGTCGTTAGGGAAGGACATTTTCTTCTCCCTTGAAATCTGAGGGTGACAGAAAATTCATGGAAGTTTATTTTTCTTCCATCATTTTTAGCATTTATTCATTTATAATTCTCCACAGATGAATAAAAAATTTTATGTGGCATTTCTTTCCATATGTCTCTCATATGTATGTTTGTATTCCTCAAACGCACCCACACCCACACCCACACACACGCCAAACATCTTTTCTCATTGTTTTTGCCTCTCACATTTGTGTACTGTGAATCCTTATAAATATATACTTATTCATACTTACATTTGTATGCCTGTCTTTTAAAGATCTCTCCACTGTTTACTCTTTCTAATTTTGTTCATATTAAAAAAAAACAAGTATTTTCAAATGAGAAATAAACACCAGTCCATCAACTGCATCGTTGAGCTGCATGATTGGAGATAGCTGGGGCTTTCAAGTTCTTTCTAATACAAAGCCCTGCTGTTTTAGATGAGGGTGGAAAGACGAGCAGTCAATCTTGCATTTTCAGTCAAAGATCGTATTTGTCTTGCTCAATTTCATGCAGAAAGTGATAAAATTCTGAAATTTATCTCTCGATAGATGAATGAAATACAGGGAATCAGGAAGAATTCTTTGTTTTGGAAGCTTGGCGGCCCATGCCCACCTGCGGAGCTTTAAGCATTTCTGTTGTCATGCGTGAAGCTGCAGAGTAGAAAAGCCATGAGCTCTCACCAAGCGCACTTTGTAAAGCAGAAGTTTTTCAGTGTGGGGTCAGTTGAAATCAAGTACTGGGAAGGCAAATGCCAGCAAGTGGCTTTTACAAGGCCAGGGGTTCTTCCTAAGAAGACAGAATTTGAAGACATCATCAATACAGATGTCTGGGGAAAACACAAGTTATTTTAGCTTTTATTGCTTTGTGCTGTTAAGATAAATGTTTCTTCAGACATACAGATTTATATAAATGTATCTTCAGTGGCAACTTGATTCAGTCTTAATTTTGGTGAGAAAATAAGATACTCATAGCAAAACCAGTTACCTATCCTAATCATGTATTTTGGATCTGGCGAAGTGAAGTCTGAAAGTCTCCACTGGGTTCACCATGAGTTGGGGATTCTGCTTAGTTTCTATTGCTTGCCTGAATCCACAAGCCCTAC